AGATAAGAGAGAGGACGAGAACAAAAAAATATACCAGGTACATTACCAGTCCTACTCACAGGCCTACCTCTTACAAGTCGGTAGTAATTAGTATATTACGTCCTCCATCACACAGTATATAAAAAAAGATTCGGACGCGAATGCAGAAAAAGTCGCTAATCATATCTTGAAGTAGATTGCTCGTGTGATTATACAGTTTATATGTAATAATGACTGCTTAAAGGTAAACGAGCAAGATTCGAAGATAAAATCACGAAAGATATAATTAAGAGATCAAAGCATCAAATAACCTAAAGTCAAAAAAGTACTGTAAATTTTGCGTCTGTCTATTGATATTTTTTTCTTCTTCTTCTTCTCTTGCGGTTCTTCCCAACAAGTGCGATAGACAAGGATGGAAGAAGGTTGACAATATGGCTAAATAAGGGGATAATAGAAGTGAAAACAATTAAGTATTTAGGGTCACATGTCTCAAAGCTCATGTGCTAAGGAATGGGAGCAAGGAGAATGAAGTAGGATGTAGGATGGGGGATTGCACATGAGAAATTAGAAACGAGAGATGAGAGGGAGAGGGAGAAGGAGAAGAAGGAGAAGAAGGAGAAGGAGAAGGAGAAGGAGAGGAAGAGGAAGAGGAAGAGGAAGAGGAAGAGGAAGAGGAAGAGGAAGAGGAAGAGAGAGAGAGAGAGAGAGAGAGAGAGAGAGAGAGAGAGAGAGAGAGAGAGAGAGAGAGAGAGAGAGAGAGAGAGAGAGAGAGAGAGAGAGAGAGAGAGAGGCTATGAATTGTTTTTAGAGACGGGGAAAAAGGAATTTGACTGAAGAAGAAAAATCTAAATAGTGATGGTATGAAGTATGAAGTATTGTCAAATTCGATCTATTTCTTCTCTTCTTCTAAAAGTTATTTTCTTTTTTTCGTTCAACATATCAGTATAAGTTCATAGATATCCATAGATATTATTACAGTAATAATACGAATCCGAAGGATTTACGGATTGACTTTACACGAACGCAAATATAAGCAGTAAACAAACGTGGAAGACGAGGGCGATAATGCAGACTTCTACTCCTATTTTACGGGCTTTTTCTGGCCTTAGATTAGGTAAATGGGGTTGTGGTTGTGTTGTGAAGGAATTGTTATTCTTATTCATATTTTATGGTTATGGTTGGTGGAGAAGTATTGCATTTGTTATAAGGTATTACAGGTTTAATGTTTACTATGATATACGCCGGTAATGTTCTGCAGCAGATTGCAGTAAAATACGTTTTATGTCTGAAGTTTGATAATACAAATCAACAGTTGTATGGGGATAGGTCAGTATGGAGGGGCTCCCTGTCTTGCTCGTCTATGCAACATTGCAGGACAACGGGGCCGCATTCGGAACCTCCGAGGCCCTCATTGCCCCACAGTGCAATCCTGTCTATAGAGTATGGCATGTGCACACAGGAGATATTTTTGTTCTAAAGCTCTTGCAAGCTGGTAGTTTTGCCTCAATAAAGCTGGGTTCCTATTTGAACAGGGATACAATTTGACATATAATGCTAGATTGCTCATATTATATAACCATTATATAACTTATATTGGAGAATCGCATTGCATACTGATATAGTAATTACATCACCTACCAAACATATTAACGCAGCAAACATATTAACACAGAATCATCTATCCTTATTTGTTGTTAAAGGTGGACTATCACATCACACATGATGCTACAAGGACACAAATAATCAAATAAAGCAGGTTAATAGGTATAGAAAAGCCAAACCTTATGACCACGAGGAAAAGCACTGAATTGTTCAAGGTCCTAATTGTCACTTTGCAATTAAACTGTCCCAGGGATCATAGGGCCATGAGGTCTAGCTTTTACAATGCCATGGCAACATGTTAATTCATACAGGTCATTTCAAACTCTCCAGGACTTGCTTTATTTCCCTATGAGGGGCTCTAACTATGGACCCCACTTGATCACTATAGACATACCGTGCTGCATTAGTTGTAACCTATTTTCTTCACTTTTGACATTATTTCTTGTTTGTGGATATTAATTTGATTATCAGTAAGTGTGGTTTTCCCTTTCTTCATGATAGTATCATTGCATTACCATAGATAAAAAATGTCTTATTTTATGCCATTCTATCCATTACAGGCCAAGTTTACCCTGTACCATATGGCTGCGTGAAACTGAAACTAAATTGGTAATTTTTGAACTTCACATGGGCATCTAATCTTGCAATTAATATATTTTGTTTCATTTATTCACTGGGCTCTATGTGTGAATCCTTTGTTGTATTCATTGCCTAAGACACTGTATTTTCCTCTTAGGGGCCCTACTCCTAGACTGCCAACCAATCGCCATGGATTTACTTTCTACGTGGCATTTGTCATGGCTCATTTTCTTTATTTCTTACCTCTTTTTTCCCTGCATAGATTATTTTGTGTATCTATCAGTGTAATTTTTCACTTTCTTTGTGAAAGTGTCACTTAATTTTCCTGTAGATGTATACCAAATTATTTTGTGTTGCATAATTTTCTTATTATCAACTTGTAAGTTATTACCTTAGATGAAAAGTGTCTTTATTTTTTGTTGTTCTGTCCATTACACACAAAGGTTACCTTATACAATCTGGCTGTGTGAAATAGAAGCTATGCTCCCATTTTATATATTTATTTTTATTTATTACAACCACACTTATGTATGAAAATGTGAGAATTTCAATATCATCCTTATCTCTTTCTGCACAATTTTTATAGATAACATATAGAATTTTGACAATACATTTAGAACCCTTTTTAACCCAATGCCAAGCCTACTGTGAGTTTACTTTAATAATTGTTTTTACACATAAATGGCTACACTTGCACAAAGCCACCAATGAGCCAATTACGAGTACTGCCTGTCTCACCTGTTTACCCTTTTCCTTGATTTTTGAAAATATTTTACGTTATATTATATTGCTGTTACTAATTTCTATAACATCATAGTAATTATAATGTCTATAATTAAAAAAACACCAGCGATATCTTAGCATTAGTTAAAAAAAAAAGGAAAAAAAAAAAAAAAAAAAAAAAAAAAAAAAAAAAAAAAAAAAAAAATCCTGCCAACTCAAGGAAATGTGAAATTAGGTAAGGTCACAAAATCTACTAATTGACTCCTGTGTGGCTAAGTAGAGCCATCTGTGTGCAAAGACATTTTGCAAAAAATGTATTAATGAACATTGCAGCATTGGGTTAAGCATTTTTGTTTACTTTTCAAACATGACCTTTCTAGGACTAGAAAAGCATAATTTTTCTATAATTATTCCTTTTTTGTTCTTGGAACTAGAATAAAAATAGAAAAAATGGCCATGTACTCGGTGTAGTCATCGATAAAGCAAATGAAGTGAAGCTAAGAACAATATTTTCTGAAAAACTTTGTTTCCCTAAAAAGGGAAAACATTTTATTATTGTTATTGTTACTATTATTATTATTATTATTATCATCATCATCATCATCATCATCATCATCATCATCATCATCATCATCATCATCATCATCATCATCATCATCATCATCATCATCATCATTGTTATTAGGTTTCCCTAAAAAGGGAAAACATTTTATAATTGTTATTGTTATTATTATTATTATTATTATTATTATTATTATTATTATTATTATTATTATTATTATTATTATTATTATTATTATTATACTGTATTACAAGCTCCACATGAGAATATATTTGAAGATATTTTTTTTTTCATATATATTTTTTCATGTGTGTTTTTTTCAGGTAAGGTAGAAATATAAGATTTGGGTAGATAAATTATATGAGACAAAAATTATATGGGCAAAAAACACACCAACCAAAAATTTTGCTTTGAGTAAATTGAAATTTTATAATACCTGTTTCATGTGCATACTCAATTTATGTTATGATTTTTATATTTTGCTTTTGATTGCTGTAATACATTTCCATGCTTGATGCTGACCACTAAAGAAAATAACTGTATAAGTGTGTAATTTGATGTTTAGAGGTGTTTGGAGCTCCTAAAAAGTAATGTTTTTTTTTTAGTGATAGATATTTGAAATCACCATGCGCATGAATTGAATATATATTATACTTGAAAGAACAATTCAGGATAAAAATATGTATTTACAATGTCTATTTTGAAGTTATAGACTAGCTGTTTTATTTTTATATTTGAGAAACGCTTTTATATGTAATATTTTTTACACAGTCATATAGTAGCATGGATATATGTATAGTAGCATATATTAATTGATTTGACTTGAATATATATGTTTTGTGTAAATTTTCTACTCAGAACATGTAAATAGCAATTTTAGGGTGGGATCAATCTGGGATTCCAGTATAAAGGTGTTTTTCTGATGTAATTAATCTGTAGAAATTAGTTCAAGGTGAAACGATGTAAAGAAGATTTAAGAAATGAAGAATTGGGCTATGCTAATTTTGCATGGGATCATCTGGTACTGCCTGGTACCAACCGGCAATGCCCAGTGCTAATAAATCTACTGCCCAGTAGCGATAGGTATTATTTACCTATTTTTGAAAGATCTGTCGCACAGTTTTTCATTTGTAGGCCTACATTAAATATGTTCTGTACATAAATGCTATTGTTTTGCTAGGAGATGATAGTTCAGACTTGATTAAATAAATTTTGTAATTAAGTTTGTCTTTATATTGATACAAAAAAGAAAAAAAAAAATATTGGAACCATAAAAAATAGCAGTGTTTTTTTTTTTTTTTTTTTTTTTAACCAATGTTTTATGTGTCATTTGTGGCATGAGTGTTATTTTTTACCTGTTAATGCACTTTTTCTGATTGTTAACACAGGGAAAACAGTCCAACATGTGCTGGAGGTTATGTTGGCCTTTGCTTGTGTATGGGAGGCAAGGTGATGCCTCGATTCCAAAATGTTTAAATGATAGCATTGTCAGCTATTGACATAATATCTGTTGGTAAAAGCCAACAAACCTTCACAAACCTGTCATTGTTTCATCAAACAGGTTACTACTGCCATCTGTGTTTTACCATAACATAGGTAGAGTCTGCAGCTGCTGCTTTTTAACATGCTACAACCATGTTTAACTTCAGATTATAGACCAACTATAAGAAATGATAGTGGATCAAGTGGATGTTGATACATGACAGTCAGTATAAGTATGCAGAAAATGTCCTATTTTGAGAGACAGTGCAGATGTCCCAAAGTATAACCATTTACCAAATGTGATGACAAATGTACAGAAATTAATTTTATTTCCATAACCATTTATTGTTCTGACCCAACTAGCCTTGGCATTTAAATAACACAATTATCAGTCAGAGAAGCTTGTAGTATTTTTAGTTTTAACCCACTAACACCAGATGATATCTAACATGTAATGATGAACTTGGCCCAAATGCCAGGTGAGAAATACTCATGCTATGTGTGGTTGAGCCTTCTCTAGGTTGGGCCTACTAAGCCAACTAAGACAATATTTCAGAAGTTTTGTTTTGTATATCAAGCTGAACATGTGTATTATTTTCAGATGTAATCCAAAAGTAAAAACAGACAGATGAGCATTATAGTAAGACCTCTCAATGCATTTCTGTTATTTTCAGGATTCTTTAGGCCAAGATATGCACACAGTGATGCCCTGAGTGAGAATGACCTCGTAAACCCACAATGTGTGAACAGAAATCCTCGAAACATGGAGATGCTGAGGTTGGCGAGGAAACCCCAAGGCTGGGGCCTTGACGTTCCAGGTTGTAATTATTGGTACAAGTGAGTTTTTCTTTATTGTTTTGTTTTGATGCCATGAGTTGTTCTGCTTAGATTAGTAGGCTTTGTGTGTTTTGTTTTTTTCTCTTGCTGTCTCACTCTTTTTTTTTTTCTTCTTCTTCTTTTCTTTTTCCTATTTTGCTTCCATTTGAATGTTTATAAAATTCTATGCATTATGTTTAACCCCTTGCCGTCGGGGATGGCATGTACGTACATGCCATGCCCACTATGAGTTTACTTGTTTAAACGTTTTTACAAATAGATGGCTACACTTGTACTAAGTCACCAGTGAACCAATTATGAGTACTGCCTGTCTCGGTCGTTCACCTTTTTCATTGATTTATGAAAATATTTAACGTTATCCTAATTTGCTGTTAAAAATAACACCATCTATATTTATAGCACTAGTGAGAATACATTTTTTCCCACCAATTCAAGGAAAGGTGAAATCAGGACTAGCAGAGCCATCTATGATATTTCACAAAAATATAAAAAATGAGTACAGCATTTTCCCCATTTTTTATTCATTTTGCCTGGCAGCAATGGATTAAAATAGTTAATCATTATGTTGCTGAAAAAGAAATTTGGGTGTTTTTTTTCATAGAAAATGAATTGCTAAGGCTACCTTTTATTTTATATGGTTAGAATCTATAGGTTTTTATAGAAATATGTATTGATTGATGCTCAGTATCAGTTCCTATACTATTTGCTAAAAGCAAGAAGAAACATGTCCGACTCTAAGTACTCTTGTATAGATTTAGGAGTAGGAGTTTGATATTGCATATTGGCAGGGAATAGAGAAGGAGTATGTATTTTATGTCTTATTCTTTGTGAAAGGATGTGTCTGTTTTGATTTGTGAAAACTTTTATGCTTAAACCTCATATATTCTTCCACACCAGTAAGATCTTTTAAGGATGCAAATGCAAGCTACATAGAAGCAAAGGTACCTGTGTAATCTACATCTAAGCCTTTCTTTGATGATTTCTCTCATGCTGCCCCTCACCCATCTCTGAAGAGTTCTGTAATAGATATGGAAAGATGTTTGCATATTAGCAAACAGATATAGGGCCTCCAATTGACTGAGTGTCATGTGTATGAATACCTTTTGATAATGGTCCAGGCCTTACATATAGACCTAAAGAAAATTTTACCTTACCAGTTGCTTGTGAAAGATTTGAAGTTTTCTTTCAGTTTCTTCCACAAATGAGCCCATAAAGTGCAGGTTCTTTGTATATACTGTGCCCATGGTCATGTAGTTTGCTTATTTAGGAAGTGTTACTAGCCTACCCAATCTTACCTCTTAAACCCTTTCAGTGGATATTCCAAAAGGGGAGTTTTTGTTTTTTATTATTGTTATTATGGTTGATAATGTTAGGATACTAAAAAAGTTGATAATAATAATAACATTAATAGTGACAGAGACAGACTGGCCATAGGGAATTTGAATAATGGTCATTAGGCTGTTAAGAAAGAGGGGATGGCAGAGAGAAAACAGCTTAAAAAAGGCCACAAAAAACAGAAGTAATAGATGTTACACAAAGAATGAAACAAAAATGGACATGGACATTAAATGAGCAGTGTACATTAATTAATAAGAGTAATTGTTTTAAGACCTAGTCTGAACAATGATGATAGCAGTTTTAGAAATGAAGACTAGTTTTTCTTTAATGAAAATTTAAGGAATAGACAAAAAGGTTAGTTCAACTTGACCAAATAATTTACTCCTCGTGTTTTGAATAATAGAACTTCAGACACTAAAATCATTTTATTCATTCACATGCAATGATATATGCTTGTAAGGATTTGCTTGATTTTTGTACATTTAGTGTGAAGAGTAAACACATAAGTTTTTCACTTGCTCTTCACCAAGCTCCTTCTCCATCTCACCCCAACAGATTGTTTCTAGACTGTACCCAACGCCACGTAACTGCCCGTGTTGAGCATTTCACTGGTAAGACGGTAGTTTCAGCCTCAACCAAAGAGTGGGCCATCAAGCAGCATCTCTTCTCCACAACAGACATCAACGCGGTCAGGAACATTGGCCGCATCATTGCACAGCGATGCCTGCAGTCTGGTATTTCAGAACTTCACACAGAGTTGCAGAAACATGTAGATACGTCAGAGAAGGTGATTAATTTTGTGAATTTTTTTGGCATAGGTATTTTATTTTCATGAATATGGTTTTTATTTTTTATTAGTTGATTTATTTAATTTTTTAATGCAAATTAAGTTTTATATTGTTGTGGTTAACCCATTCGCACCGGGTGTCACGTATACGTAACATGCTCACTGTGAGTTTACTTGTTTAATTGTTTTCACACGTAGATGGCTACACTTGTACTTGTACTGCCTGTCTCGCCTGTTTACCCTTTTCTTTAATTTACAAAAATATTTTACGTTATATGTACTTGGCCTGTCTCGCCTGTTTACCCTTTTCTTTAATTTACAAAAATATTTTACGTTATCTTATTTTGCTGTTACTAATGTTTATAACATTATAGTAATTATAATATTTATAATAAAAATAACCATCAATATTCATAGCACTAGTAAAAACACATTTTCCCGCTGATTCAAGTAAAGGTGAAATCAGGTTAGGCAGAGCCATCTAGTGTAGAGATATTTCACAAAAAAAAAAAAAAAAAAAATGAGCACTGCATTTTCCCTATTTTTTGTTCATTTTTACCTGGCGCAAGGTGCATTGCTAATTATATTCATGATTCCATGATTCAGACCAAAATCCTGACTTTTCTACATATTTATTTTAACCCATGATGTGTATGTATGTGCTATGCCCACTTTGAGTACTTGTTTGATTGTTTTTACACATAGATGGCTACACTTGTACTAAGAATCAGGTTAGGCAGAGCCATCTAGTGTAGAGATATTTCACAAAAAAATATAAAAAAATGAGCACTGCATTTTCCCTATTTTTTGTTCATTTTTACCTGGCGCAAGGTGCATTGCTAATTATATTCATGATTCCATGATTCAGACCAAAATCCTGACTTTTCTACATATTTATTTTAACCCATGATGTGTATGTATGTGCTATGCCCACTTTGAGTACTTGTTTGATTGTTTTTACACATAGATGGCTACACTTGTACTTGTACTGCCTGTCTCGCCTGTTTACCCTTTTCTTTAATTTACAAAAATATTTTACGTTATCTTATTTTGCTGTTACTAGTGTTTATAACATAGTAATTATAATGTTTATAATAAAAATAACCATCAATATTCATAGCACTAGTAAAAACACATTTTCCCGCTAATTCAAGTAAAGGTGAAATCAGGTTAGGCAGAGCCATCTAGTGTAGAGATATTTCACAAAAAAATATAAAAAAATGAGCACTGCATTTTCCCTATTTTTTGTTCATTTTTACCTGGCGCAAGGTGCATTGCTAATTATATTCATGATTCCATGATTCAGACCAAAATCCTGACTTTTCTACATATTTATTTTAACCCATGATGTGTATGTATGTGCTATGCCCACTTTGAGTACTTGTTTGATTGTTTTTACACATAGATGGCTACACTTGTACTTGTACTGCCTGTCTCGCCTGTTTACCCTTTTCTTTAATTTACAAAAATATTTTACGTTATCTTATTTTGCTGTTACTAGTGTTTATAACATAGTAATTATAATGTTTATAATAAAAATAACCATCAATATTCATAGCACTAGTAAAAACACATTTTCCCGCTGATTCAAGTAAAGGTGAAATCAGGTTAGGCAGAGCCATCTAGTGTAGAGATATTTCACAAAAAAAAAAAAAAAAAATGAGCACTGCATTTTCCCTATTTTTTGTTCATTTTTACCTGGCGCAAGGTGCATTGCTAATTATATTCATGATTCCATGATTCAGACCAAAATCCTGACTTTTCTACATATTTATTTTAACCCATGATGTGTATGTATGTGCTATGCCCACTTTGAGTACTTGTTTGATTGTTTTTACACATAGATGGCTACACTTGTACTAAGTCACCAATGAGCCAGTTACGAGTACTGCCTGTCTCGCTCATTTACCCTTTTCATTGATTAAAAAAAATATTTCACGATATCTTATTTTGCTGTTACTAGTGTTTATAACATAGTAATTATAATGTTTATAATAAAAATAACACGATATCGATATTCATAGCAAATACATTTTCCTGCCAATTCAAATGAGGTAAGGTCACAAAGTCTTCTAATTGACTTCTTTGTGGCTAAGCACTAGCAGAGCCAT